GAAAATCCTTTAAATTTACAATTTTCTTCTCGAAATTCTCCATTTGGTTTTTTTTATTTTAATTTTGTTTCATTCAACATTTAAACAAATTTAATTTTACGATTTTCATATCGAAATTCTCCATTTGGTTGTTTTTATTTTTTAAGTTTAATTGTAAATGTCGATCTCGGATTTGTCGATCTTGTCCGGAACATTACTTCATTTATTTATTTATATACTGTATACTGTTTGTAATTTTTTCAACAGAATCATTGTTGAGTAGATAGAAAACCGGTACGGTACGATGTCAAATTTCGCATTTTTGTATTTTTTTTTTTACCCTAATATATTTTTTATATTTTTTAATTTTTTTTTTGCAATTCGTTTCTTTTTTACTTTTTTTTATTTCTTTTTTCTTTTCTTTTTTATTTTACATTTTTTTTTCTTTTTTCGTTTTTTTCAAAAAAAATGAAAATAAAAATAAAATAAAATAAAGATTTCCGCGGATATGGCATTTAATTAGTAAAATGTGATATAATGTTTTTTTTTAATATAGTAAAATCATTAGATCAAAATTCTTTGTATTTATAAAATAAGTAATAAATAAAAATAAATTTTATAAAATTTCATTGTGTACCGTACCGTACTGGTCCTATAATAGGGCTTAGTTATTATAGAACCAGTACGGTACGGTACGATGTCAAATTTCAACAAAATTACTGATCTGCATAATCGTACCGTACTGGTCTGGCGAATCGTACCGTACCGGTTTTCCATATACTCGATGCATCCTCATTTAAAGAATCCGGATTTCATTGGTTATCACTTTCTATTGGTTATTTGAAAGATAACTTACATTTAGAAGATATGTCAAATTTACTTAAAATCTTTGGAGATGTTGGTTTTCCGATAATATCGGTTCCAAACGAAATCATTGATGCATTAAACAATTCCATACATAAAGACTTTCTTAAAGTTTTGTCTCCTGCCATTGGTCGTATTTATTTAAAGCACAATCGTGATAGATGGCAAGATCAACTGTCAAAAGAAGAAGCCATCGTATTATTTAAGTATGTGTTAATAATGAACGAAAATTTTTGATGAAATGGAAGGTTAAAAATAATTCCACTCGAGAGTGGTAAACTTGGTACTTTTGTCACGATTTAGCGAATCTATTGTGTACGTTAGTCCAGATGAAAAATGTTGAGCACCATATCTTTAAAGATTAATTAGACAAATTCATTTTAAGGAATAATCACGGGTTGCGTAATCGTTTGCGTGAACTCGCTATAGATGGGTGGAATCTAAACATTAAAATCTTGGATGCATATGCCATTGCCGATATGATTAGATTTACACTTGATCCAGTAAATCCATTCCTTGAGGAGATGCAATATCAAATCATAGTGTATGGATTCATAAATTATGGGATTATTTAATAAATAGAAATTGGTAGGGTTTCCGTTTGAAATACAAATTGCATTTCAAAATATTTGAAAGTTTTTTAAAAATAATTTCAAATGAATATCGAAATGATTTTGGATATCGAAAGTCATTTCGGATTATCGAATTGTTTTCGAATACTCGAAAATCAATTCGGAATACCAAATCATTTCGGATGTCCGATATTGTATATACTTTTTTTTCATTCGCATTTTTCTCTTTAGTTTATTGGTTTTTTTCGATATTTTTAAAATTTTCGATTAGGTAAGCTTTAGTTTTATTTTTTTACATTCTTTTTTTTTATTTCATTTATTTTAAAATAAATAATCGATCGATAGGTCGATCGAAATGATTGATAATCGTCGATCGAAATGAAATAATATCCGAACTGATTTTCGATATTCGAGTCGATCGAATTGATTGGTAATCGAAATGATATCCGAATTGATTTTCGATACGATATTCCAGTCGATCGAAATGAAATGATATCCGAATTGATTTTCGATACGATATTCCAGTCGATCGAAATGATATCCGAATTGATTTTCGAAATTGATCATGTATTTTCGAATATTTGAATTTTTATTATTTACAAACATATATTCGAATTTTCTATTTTCAAACGGAAACCCTAGAAATTGGGATTTGAAAAGGTTTTGAAAAAATCCATTTAATCCCGACAAGTCACTCTACTCTTAGGAAATTAAATCCTCCGAAAAAAATTTTATTCAATCAAACGAATAATATTTCAATCACACCATCTTTGAAAGTTATTTTCGAAAATTTGGTGCCGTATTTGTAGACAATCAATTTGAAGAAATTTCTAAATGTGATAAGTGAGTTTTTTTTTTTATTTTTTTTTATATGTGAATAACGTCTTTTGGTTAAATAAATTAATCGTCTTTTCTACCTTGCATTTTCACTTCACAGAGTATATTCATATCATTAAACCTGATGATATCATATCGGTTCTTGGTTCTTTCCAAGCCGATTATATCCAAGTAATTTAAATTGTGTGTTACAACCTCGTGAAATATCGATGCTCGTTGAATATTTATCCAACTATTTACGATTTGTTGCTAATGATGCGTCAAATGTTATCGATGTTATCAAGCATTTACCAATTTTTTCCGAAGTTGGCAATGCTACATCAATTTCGTTAATCGGAAATCAAAATTGGTATCTTCTTCCTTATGGTGAAAATAATTCATATGGCGAAATCATCTATCCAAGTGAATGAGGAAAATTTCTTAATACGGCTTTACCAAATTTGCGTTATACATTGGAAGATATTATTAAAGTTCCTCGATTGGATTCATACAACTACTTGCAAAATTATGTTATACCGTTTCTCAAGACACAACCACAAAGGGACATTGACATAATTTAAAAACTACTTTTTGATAAATCACCATCTCTACTCAATGAATTGAAGGATTCCCTTGGAAAAACTTCTTTCATACCTGTTGATACACTTGAAATGCCACAGCAAATTCTTATTTCTTCAAACATAAAGTTGGCTAACCCAACAGAACTATTTGATCTGGAAGATGAAGCAATAATCAGTCTATTTTTTGAGGACGAACATGTCTTTCCTACCGGAAAATACGGCGACCCTAGATATTTCTCAAGTTTGAAATTATTGGGAATGAAATCAATTCTTTCTCCAAATTATATAATTTCTCGAATTAACACGATCGTAACGAGAGTTCAAAATCCTGCCATTGTGATTATTTAATTCGTGACAAAGCATTGTACCTATTTAAATATCTTGACGAAAGATGGGATCAATTGAACAATAATAGGTATGAATTTATGTATGCTATTTTACGAAATGAACGGATCTCTACTATTGATAATTCTGGGCGTCATATCTTTTCGAGACTTAAAAATTGTTATTACAAAAAGTATAAAATCTAGTTGCTTTGATTGCACCAACTCTGGATTATGATGCCAGTAATTACGAATTTTTAAAAATTTTAGAGCAACCGATATTAAAATGGTTCTAAAACAGTTGGAAATTTGTTATAACGGTTTAGCAAAACATCAGACACCAGATGAGTTG